GGTGACACGAGATCGAATCCGCCAGGGAGCACCAGTTCCCTAAAGATTACAGGTACACCTTGCTGACGAGTGCCAAGTAGCACGAAACCCGGGTCCAGGGTTTCCTGTTGACTACCTCCAACCACCATCTAATCTCAATACATAGTGCCCGCAGTGTCGAGTCACCTAGACTGGTGGCCACATTGCAACATGATCGATAGCATTCGATCTGCACTAATAAGGACTAGACAAGCATGACATTGATCACCACCCAGTGATCAATCAATTGTGATTACATCTCAGTCCTACAGGAGGTCAGTCACGGCTCGGATAGCTCAGTGGTAACGTCTCTGACTGTGAAGCTGGGTGACACGAGATCGAATCCGCCAGGGAGCACCAGTTCCCTAAAGATTACAGGTACACCTTGCTGACGAGTGCCAAGTAGCACGAAACCCGGGTCCAGGGTTTCCTGTTGACTACCTCCAACCACCATCTAATCTCAATACATAGTGCCCGCAGTGTCGAGTCACCTAGACTGGTGGCCACATTGCAACATGATCGATAGCATTCGATCTGCACTAATAAGGACTAGACAAGCATGACATTGATCACCACCCAGTGATCAATCAATTGTGATTACATCTCAGTCCTACAGGAGGTCAGTCACGGCTCGGATAGCTCAGTGGTAACGTCTCTGACTGTGAAGCTGGGTGACACGAGATCGAATCCGCCAGGGAGCACCAGTTCCCTAAAGATTACAGGTACACCTTGCTGACGAGTGCCAAGTAGCACGAAACCCGGGTCCAGGGTTTCCTGTTGACTACCTCCAACCACCATCTAATCTCAATACATAGTGCCCGCAGTGTCGAGTCACCTAGACTGGTGGCCACATTGCAACATGATCGATAGCATTCGATCTGCACTAATAAGGACTAGACAAGCATGACATTGATCACCACCCAGTGATCAATCAATTGTGATTACATCTCAGTCCTACAGGAGGTCAGTCACGGCTCGGATAGCTCAGTGGTAACGTCTCTGACTGTGAAGCTGGGTGACACGAGATCGAATCCGCCAGGGAGCACCAGTTCCCTAAAGATTACAGGTACACCTTGCTGACGAGTGCCAAGTAGCACGAAACCCGGGTCCAGGGTTTCCTGTTGACTACCTCCAACCACCATCTAATCTCAATACATAGTGCCCGCAGTGTCGAGTCACCTAGACTGGTGGCCACATTGCAACATGATCGATAGCATTCGATCTGCACTAATAAGGACTAGACAAGCATGACATTGATCACCACCCAGTGATCAATCAATTGTGATTACATCTCAGTCCTACAGGAGGTCAGTCACGGCTCGGATAGCTCAGTGGTAACGTCTCTGACTGTGAAGCTGGGTGACACGAGATCGAATCCGCCAGGGAGCACCAGTTCCCTAAAGATTACAGGTACACCTTGCTGACGAGTGCCAAGTAGCACGAAACCCGGGTCCAGGGTTTCCTGTTGACTACCTCCAACCACCATCTAATCTCAATACATAGTGCCCGCAGTGTCGAGTCACCTAGACTGGTGGCCACATTGCAACATGATCGATAGCATTCGATCTGCACTAATAAGGACTAGACAAGCATGACATTGATCACCACCCAGTGATCAATCAATTGTGATTACATCTCAGTCCTACAGGAGGTCAGTCACGGCTCGGATAGCTCAGTGGTAACGTCTCTGACTGTGAAGCTGGGTGACACGAGATCGAATCCGCCAGGGAGCACCAGTTCCCTAAAGATTACAGGTACACCTTGCTGACGAGTGCCAAGTAGCACGAAACCCGGGTCCAGGGTTTCCTGTTGACTACCTCCAACCACCATCTAATCTCAATACATAGTGCCCGCAGTGTCGAGTCACCTAGACTGGTGGCCACATTGCAACATGATCGATAGCATTCGATCTGCACTAATAAGGACTAGACAAGCATGACATTGATCACCACCCAGTGATCAATCAATTGTGATTACATCTCAGTCCTACAGGAGGTCAGTCACGGCTCGGATAGCTCAGTGGTAACGTCTCTGACTGTGAAGCTGGGTGACACGAGATCGAATCCGCCAGGGAGCACCAGTTCCCTAAAGATTACAGGTACACCTTGCTGACGAGTGCCAAGTAGCACGAAACCCGGGTCCAGGGTTTCCTGTTGACTACCTCCAACCACCATCTAATCTCAATACATAGTGCCCGCAGTGTCGAGTCACCTAGACTGGTGGCCACATTGCAACATGATCGATAGCATTCGATCTGCACTAATAAGGACTAGACAAGCATGACATTGATCACCACCCAGTGATCAATCAATTGTGATTACATCTCAGTCCTACAGGAGGTCAGTCACGGCTCGGATAGCTCAGTGGTAACGTCTCTGACTGTGAAGCTGGGTGACACGAGATCGAATCCGCCAGGGAGCACCAGTTCCCTAAAGATTACAGGTACACCTTGCTGACGAGTGCCAAGTAGCACGAAACCCGGGTCCAGGGTTTCCTGTTGACTACCTCCAACCACCATCTAATCTCAATACATAGTGCCCGCAGTGTCGAGTCACCTAGACTGGTGGCCACATTGCAACATGATCGATAGCATTCGATCTGCACTAATAAGGACTAGACAAGCATGACATTGATCACCACCCAGTGATCAATCAATTGTGATTACATCTCAGTCCTACAGGAGGTCAGTCACGGCTCGGATAGCTCAGTGGTAACGTCTCTGACTGTGAAGCTGGGTGACACGAGATCGAATTCGCCAGGGAGCACCAGTTCCCTAAAGATTACAGGTACACCTTGCTGACGAGTGCCAAGTAGCACGAAACCCTGGTCCAGGGTTTCCTGTTGACTACCTCCAACCACCATCTAATCTCAATACATAGTGCCCGCAGTGTCGAGTCACCTAGACTGGTGGCCACATTGCAACATGATCGATAGCATTCGATCTGCACTAATAAGGACTAGACAAGCATGACATTGATCACCACCCAGTGATCAATCAATTGTGATTACATCTCAGTCCTACAGGAGGTCAGTCACGGCTCGGATAGCTCAGTGGTAACGTCTCTGACTGTGAAGCTGGGTGACACGAGATCGAATCCGCCAGGGAGCACCAGTTCCCTAAAGATTACAGGTACACCTTGCTGACGAGTGCCAAGTAGCACGAAACCCGGGTCCAGGGTTTCCTGTTGACTACCTCCAACCACCATCTAATCTCAATACATAGTGCCCGCAGTGTCGAGTCACCTAGACTGGTGGCCACATTGCAACATGATCGATAGCATTCGATCTGCACTAATAAGGACTAGACAAGCATGACATTGATCACCACCCAGTGATCAATCAATTGTGATTACATCTCAGTCCTACAGGAGGTCAGTCACGGCTCGGATAGCTCAGTGGTAACGTCTCTGACTGTGAAGCTGGGTGACACGAGATCGAATCCGCCAGGGAGCACCAGTTCCCTAAAGATTACAGGTACACCTTGCTGACGAGTGCCAAGTAGCACGAAACCCGGGTCCAGGGTTTCCTGTTGACTACCTCCAACCACCATCTAATCTCAATACATAGTGCCCGCAGTGTCGAGTCACCTAGACTGGTGGCCACATTGCAACATGATCGATAGCATTCGATCTGCACTAATAAGGACTAGACAAGCATGACATTGATCACCACCCAGTGATCAATCAATTGCTTCTAGTCTTTGCATCACTGCCTCTGCGATCAATCCTGATATTGCTGATCCCATTGGTGTCCCTTTAGTTTGTTCATGGATTTTGTTGTTGAATTGAAAATATGTTGTTAGGCATAAATTGATGGATTCCTGTAGACTTTGAATTTGAAGCTTCGTGTATTTAGTGAAATTTGTGTCGTTGTTGAGCAGCAGGGTTATAGTTTCTTTTGCTAATTTTGGTTTAATTGAGGTGAATAGTGCTGTTGCGTCGAAGGATATCATCAGTTCGTCGTTGTTTATTTGGATGTCCTTAATTTGGTCCAGGAATTGTGTAGGGGATTTGATGGAGTGGTTGGCTGAATCTACTAAATGTCTCAGTATTCTTGAAATTTCTTTTGACAAATTGTATGTTGGTGTTCCGGGGAGTGCTACAATTGGACGTAGTGGGATGTTTGGTTTGTGTATTTTGAGTCTGCCGTAGAATCGAGGGAGTACTGGTCCGTTGGATTTCATTCAAAGAAGAATACGTCAAAAAAGCCGAAGAACTACTGGAAGATAAGAGTACATACAAAAAGATGGATACAAATCCCGTCAAAAAATTAGACAACCAAATCTCATAGACCTTAGACAAGCTAGTCAAAGCAGGAGAAATAACAAAACAAGAAGAATGGAAAATGAAATCAATTTGCAATTATTATTTAACATTACTAGATGTTCATTTCTATCATTTTATATATTACTTAAACGAACTTCTGTCTGTAAAATAATACTGCTGATTTTTTTATTTGTAAACATAAAAATCCAAATCTTTAAATATGTATGGAAATCGTATTTTCTACATAGGAAAATAAATTTACAAGCAATATTTGTAATAGCAGAGCTTTTATTAAGTGTACAGTCCATTAACTTATAGTTCTAACAAGTTAGTGAAATAAATATTCGAGTATTGAAGTCATGGTTTCTTCAAGGATGAGTTATATACCTACGAGGAGAAGGTAGTAAACATCAGCCAACTTTTTTTACATTGATTTACATAAAGTTCGATTATTAGTTAGATCATAATGTTGCAGACACAAAAAACTTCAGCAAAACAATCGGCTGTTTGTCATATTTCATGTAGTTATGTACAATACCTACTAACAAGATGCATCTTTGACTTACATATTCGTATACATATATTGCGATAAGCCCTTAATAAGAACAGCTGTTTACTAAATTTTTTTGAACAATACTCTAAGTAAGCTTTGAACTTATCTACCAGATAAAGATTCGTGTGCCTGGCCTCAAAAAAAATTGTGACAGAACAAAGTACCTTTAAATGGTGTTCTTCAGCCAGTATTTGTGTTAAATCCAAAGGAAAACCGTAGGTTTCATATAAACCCCAAGCAACTTCACCGGACAACGTAGTGCTGTTACTCCCTGATACTTTTAAATCTTTGATTACACGATCAAGGAAACGTCGGCCACGCTTTAAAGTAACTAAAAACTGTTCTTCTTCTTCATTAATAAGTTCTTTTATCTAAAAAGAATACGAACAGAATAGAAATATATTTAAATTAAACTGGGTAAAACGATAAAATGAAACATAATCTAACAATCACATACAGATTTATGAGCTCGGCTTACAGCCATACTTTCTGTGAATGGTACGAAAACTAATCAGCGTTTGGTTAAAATTCGAGTGATTTGGCTTCGATCCATCTGAGCTAATTCTTCGCCGATTCTTAATCCAAACAAAACTACTTGCTCACCTACACCTGTTACTCCTCGTGGAGGAGTATAGGCCACCCACCAGGATTCTCCATCGAATTCTGTCCTGGGAAATCCATTTCAGTTGCTACTTACCCTTTTGATGTCTGTTTTCAATTCCCGACGCAGTGTTTTTTGGTTTTCTTATTTTCTGTTTCCCTTCAGGATCCTCTTGGTCTCACACATTTTCCAAACATTCCATGTACCTATATTAATTGTTGCTCTGATTGTCAGAAGAGGTATCGGTCTTGTGACTTAGGAAGAATTTCGACTTTCAGTATGAGGCGTTATGATTATTCCAAATGAATATCCTTCAACTTCCAGGACAGAGTTTAAATGGCTTGAATCGTTTATTCTGGTTAGCGTTTCCTGAGTGAATTTGTTTTCTACGGGGTAGGGTTGTTGACCCATTGCCAACCCTCATCGTTTAACCGGACTTCATTTTAAAGAAGTATGTACCACGCGCTACATAAAATCACAGCAAGTGATTTGTAATATACACAAGAGATGAACTAGAAGATCGACAGTAATGCATTTATAGCAAATTGTCTGTTTTCGATGGCTATTTTACATTCAAAATCAGGTTTTTGAGATGTAAAGGTTAGCTTTGAGGTTCCAAAAAGAAAACTTGCAAGTTGCTTACAGGTTAATATTTTACTGATGGAAATGGATTGTATGATCATCGCACAGCAGAACGTTATAACAACTTACTTACTTACGCCTGTTACTCCTCGTGAAGGAGCATAGGCCACTCACCAGCATTCTCCATACAACCCTGTCCTGGGCAACCCTTTCCAGCTCCTTCCAGTTGTTATTCATCTTTTTCATATCTGCTTCTATTATCCGACGTAATGTGTTCTTAGGCCTTCCTCTTTTCCGCTTCCCTTCAGGATTCCAAGTTAGGGCTTGTCTCGTGATGCAGTTTGACGATTTGCGTAATGTATGTCCTATCCATTTCCATCGTCTTTTCCTAATTTCTTCTTCAGCTGGAAGCTGATTTGTTCTCTCCCACAAAAGGCTATTGCTGATGATATCCGGCCAATGAATGTTGAGTATCTTGCGAAGGCAGCTATTTATAAATACTTGTACCTTCTTGATGGTGGTTGTTGTAGTTCTCCAAGTTTCAGCTCCATACAATAGAACTGCCTTGACGTTGGTATTGAAGATTCTCACTTTGATATTGGTTGAAAGTTGTTTTGAGTTCCATATGTTCTTCAATTGTAGGAATACGACCCTTGCTTTGCCAATCCTTGCCTTTACGTCTGAATCTGAGCCTCCTTGTTCATCGATGAAGCTTCCCAGGTATGTGAAGGATTCTACATATTCCAGAGTTTCGCCATCAAGAGTGATTGGATTGCTGTTCTCCGCTTTGAATTTGAGGACCTTGGTTTTCCCTTTTTGTACGCTGGGGCCTACTGATGCAGAGACTGCTGCTACACTGGTTGTCTTTTTCTGCATCTGTTCGTGTGTATGCGATAGGAGGGCTAGGTCATCTGCGAAGCCCAAATCGTCTAATTGATTTTGAGCTGTCCATTGTATTGTAAAAGATAATTAGGTAAACATTTTATACCAGTTAAATAGGTTAATAGGTGATGGATATTCGATATGTGCATATCGTAACAATTTAATTCAATATAAACAAAGTATGGACTTTAAAGCAGGCTTTCCATCGATTATGCTAAAAACACTAATTAGGTGAAGTAAGTACTAATTAGATAATCCTTTTCTCATAAAAACAGATGTGAAAAATTTATCCTACACATGTAATGCCCTGATACACTCGAGGGTGGGCAGAGTCAGCTCTCTCTCTATCGAAATGCCCTCACATGACCACGCGTACACAACCACTACCATGGAAGTTTTACTCATTGCCTTCTCACAGCAGGGTGATTTTATGAAATTCAGAGGACCGAAAAGCGAATGTCCAGTGCTTTCACTCGGTTGATGGATACAGAGGATCCACCTAAGGGAGTTGGAGAAATCTGGTTCCAAACCAATGGTGCACATGAGCTCCACGATCCTGAGGAAACAAATTGCATGTGAACCCCTTTTGGTCACCGACTATCATAGGACTGCATCTCCCAACGTTACTCTACTATTTCGTGGATTAGACCTTTAGGTCAAAGGCTCGGGGAATGACTCCCTAAGAAAACCACGTGCTTCGGTTTGGGTACTTGAACAGTATCCCAACCCTCATACATATCGAGTGACGAAGGGTGTTGCATATATATTCGGTCCCTCCTTGCACTAATATTTGTGTTTAAATAAATGAATAAATATACAAAATAGAGATGTGTACAATTTACAAATGTCCTTTCAGTGTCATTGAGAAATTCGAGAGGTAAACCAGTAAACGTACTGTATCCGGATCTCGGGTTACTTCTGGAAAAGCATTTCCTAACGTCTCAATCACAACGTCAACTAAAGTAGCTAAAAACCCAGGCTTCGCGTTTAAAACCTCAATAGCAAATCTAACAGCACGTCTTAAAATGCGACGGATCACATATCCTCGACCAGTGTTCTGAGCACGTCCACCGTCGCCTAAAGCAATGGTCAGAACTCGAGCATGATCAGCTAGTACACGATAAGCCATATCAATTTTATCAGTATCTTCAACTCCCACTTTGCCCGTATAGGGTCTTGTATTAGTGCCCTACAAGATAAAGAGATAAGGCAAATAAATAAATGTTAAATATTTGTAAAAAGTATACAGCCAGAAAACCAAAAATAAGGAACACTAAAAAGTGGGATGAAAAAAGTGATTAAGACATTAACATCGTTCGATGCCGACTCAGTGGTTTGGAGGTTAAGCGTTTTCGCGCGCGACCGAAGGTCTTAAACTCGATCCTCAAGTGCGGAGTCGTTGATTTGCGCTGTTGAGGAGTCCCACACTACGACGAAACAGCCGCCCATTGCTTTCAGGTTTTTAATGGTGGTTTAATCTTGTGTCGATTCATGATTTCAAGGGAGAACACCACTAAAGTATTACTCTGAAAATGCTTAAAATTATTTTATGACCTGAAAAACAATATTACAAGATGATTGTCTGATATACGAATGTAACAATCTGGACACATATGTATAAGGCTCCAGCCTGAAGAAATAACTAAGAGAACATAACTAAACTTTACATTTTATGACTAGAGAAAACGTCAGGGGTATTGTGTTTGAAAAAGTTAGTTTACTTGTAGTGAGATGACTCATGAACTCGCATAAAAATTACGCATACAAGGATAAAGCAATATTAAGCCAATTAGCGTAATAGACAGCATACAATACGACATTTCTTGATCCCGTAAAGTTGATGAACATTCATTTTGAATATTTTCTTATCTAACAGTATTTTAAGGATTTCGATAACAATAGTGGTGAGGATAATCAGTTAGTTCAGTAAGCTGACAAAACAGATGTAGCTAACAGTCTAATAGATGAACACACATACGGCTTCTGGACCGGATTATTGGTCAACAAAACTTTTTCTAGCGAAAACTTAATTAAGTGCCTCTAAGCAACTTTATTAGTGAATAAAAAGTTGAGATGAAATGTAAAATATTTTTACTTAGTCATAGGACAAAATCTACTTAGCAAAAGCTATATTACTGTTAAGAACTTACTAATATATATACTTTAGAAAGGGGTGAATATTCTCGACATGTATTTTTCATTAAAAAAATGAGGAATTCTCTATAATCGTGAAGTTTACAATTCATAAGCCCTAAATAAATTACTAAATTCTTAACTAACGAATTTCTAATATTCAAAACAAAACTTACAGCTTCGATTGTCTTGAATAAAGGTACGAATAAGTCTGTATCATAATTAGATCGTTTGTTCTGAAGAACTGACAAGACCCGCTCAAATCCCATGCCCGTATCAATATGTTTTGCCGGTAGAGGTTTTAAAGATCCACCCTCTTCCCTTAAACAAAAGTTATGGAAATAGAAATGTCAGGTTGTCTTGTAAATGTTGAAAAGATGGGTTACTAAACACAAATAACGTCTTATTCATAATTCAGATTTTTGCCAAAACCTATCGTATATTGTAGTCACTGAGCATATACAAGTACTTATGCTACACGACACAACCTTGTGTACAGAAGAATGATAAGATCTAAAAGAAAATGAGAAAACGATTAAAACCACTGAAATAAAGATTACCCCTAAGGTGTATTTTTAAGAAATGAAATAGAAGTTACATACGTAGTTACGTTTTGTAGCTCAATCAGTAGAGCCTTATATTGTTCGCTCTAAAGTATTTCGTCCGTGTTTTCTTACGGAACAGATTTTTCCCAGCTTTAGCAAACACTCCAAAATATTGGATATGTGTGATATGGAAATATGTTCGAACTAATTCTGATTTTATAACTGATTAATTAAATAAGAATGCGTATACCAAAATATGAGTCATAACCATTGTATAAAGCCCATTCTAAACCTCTAGAACTTTGCTACATTACGTAATCAAATTATCTTAATATTCTGTGATAACCACTCTAGACAATTATAAGAATAACCCTCTTTTAAGAAACTTTGATTTCTAACTTCTTTCATATTACAAACAACTGCTATTGACTGACAATTAGTTTTTTTAAAATCATGTTAATAATTGGAATTAAACATACTATTTTCCATGTGGCCGAAGAACAAGCAACCAAATACAATAAATTTATCGTAATCCACAATTAAAGTCATTTTTGTTTCATTTAAATTTGTGAAGGAAAGTGATTGAATGTGATATTTTAGGAATAGCAAACAAACTGGTTGGAGTTAACATGAACACATAACTTAGTTGGTTTGGAGTTGTAAGCTTAGATCACGTCATCAAAGCTCAATGGGACGAAAAATGTAGATCCCTCATAAAAAACGCTGGCAATATACAACAAATGTACCTTACAGAAGTTAGGTCATTTTTCACGTAATTGCATTTAGTATGATCTATTATCGTATCTTCAACTTTAAAGGACAAAACAAACATAAATATACATACACTTAAAAGTTATGTTAGAATACCGGTTAAACTGTATAAACACAAGGTTCCATATTTCCAGTACATCTGGATCATCTTGATTGACCAAATGAGCAGCATCACGATCTCCTACACGATCATAGTGTATTTCAGAGCAAGGGCCACAAGGACCTGTTTCACCCATCTCCCAAAAGTTCTCTTTCATACCAAACGGAAGCACGTGATCCTTAGGTAATCTTGAAATCAGAAAAGTTAAGAATGTCGAAGTCCAGTTTAAGTATATTCTCAAGGATAATACAAAACAAAAACATCAGTACAATGTAGAATGTTTAATTTTATGTGACGGAATTAAACACTGAAAATAGAAAATACCAATGATACCCGACCTAGTAGACATATTTCGAGAGCTTGAACCAGTATTTGTTATTTATTTGAAAACATAAATATTGGTACAAAGGAGCACCGAATTCATATGCATCACACAAGTCACTTGATTTGCGTGAGGGCTGGGATACTGCCCGGGTGCCGAAACCAAATCAGGTGATTTTCTTGAGGAGCCACACCCGGAGTCTTCGATCTGAAGGTTTGATTCACAAGACAGTAGAGCGACGTCGAGAGATGCAGTCCCATAGAAGCCGGTGACCAACGATTGGTTCGTACACCATTTGTTCCTTCAAGATCCAGCAGCCCATGTACACTATTGGTTTGAAATCAAGGTTTTGCGACTCCCCTAGGTGGATCCTCTATATCCACCAACCCGTTTAAAGCGCCGGACATTCGCCTTTCGTTCTCTCAATTTCGTAAAAAACAGTAATGCCGCGAGAAGGCAGTGAGTAGGACTTCCCTGGTAGCGGCTATACATGCGTGGCCATGTGAGAGCATTACGAGAGGGAGAACTAACTCTCCCCACTCTCGGCAGTACAAGGGCATTTAGTGGCTTGAACCAGTAACTACACAACTAACCAGTATTACACAGTATCAATATTCAAGAACAAACTACTATGTTTGAACCATGGAAACGCACTAGTCAAAATGCTTATCTAATAAAATCTAGGAAACAATCATAAAAAATATGTGAGGAGTCATATGTTTATACTAATAACTACTTAGGTGTAAAAACCTGTATATAACTGGGCAGCATCATTGGTGAACATGGTGGATCTGATGCAGATGTCAAGGCGGGGATCGGCAAAGCAAGAGCAACATATCTACAACTGAAGAACATCTGGAACTCAAAACAACTGTCAACCAACATCAAAGTCAGAACTTTCAATACAAATGTCAAGACAGTTCTACTGTATGTGGCAAAAACCTGGAGAACTACGAAAGTCATCATCCAGAAGATACAAGTGTTTATTAACAGTTGTCTACGCAAGATACTTCGGATCCTTTGGCCAGACACTATCAGCAACAACCTACTGTGAGAGAGAACAAACCAGATCCCAGTGGAGGAAGAAATCAGGAAGAAAAAATTGGAAGTGGATAGGACACACGTTGGAGAAGGCACCCAACTGCGTCACAAAGCAAGCATCCACCTAGGACCCTCAGGGCCAAAGGAAGAACATATTACGTCGACAAATGGAAACAGACATGAGAAGAATGAACAACAATTGGATAAGACTAGAAAGAAAGGCTCAAGACAGAGGGAATGTTAGTCGGCGGCCTATGCTCCATTCGGAGTAACAGGCGTAGTAAGTAACTGCTTGGGTTGTTGTTAATTCCAAGGTTTAGTAGATGGTACGGTGATCAAACTTATGTCAAAGTTCTTGATACTGTTGAAATTGCTTCTTTATTTCAAAGTTCAAGATCACAGGATGAAATATTCTCATTGCACAAACCTAACAACTCGTTATCTTTCTTTCGAAAGTGAACAGAACTTATGAAAAACCAACAAGGCAATAAAAAACCTGGTATAAAAGTTCTATTTTTGATTACCACACTTTCTACATAATAAAATTTACAGAAATATAAAGATATAGGAGTAAATAAGACGTGGCCATTAGTATTATTATTATCACTGTTGTCAATAACTACAAATTACAGATTCGTGTACTTGATTTTGACTCATACTCCGAGGCCAGTGATACTATCAGATGGTCAAAGCTAACGAGAGCAAAGTAGCGGTTGGACCTGGATTGCAGTAGCAGAAAGATAAATACCTGCACCCGAATGCCCCGGTGCACAAGGGCTCCACGGTCCTGAGGAAACAAATTGCATGTGAACCCCTTTTGGTCACCGACTATCATAGGACTGCATCTCCCAACGTTACTCTACTATTTCGTGGATTAGACCTTTAGGTCAAAGGCTCGGGGAATGACTCCCTAAGAAAACCACGTGCTTCGGTTTGGGTACTTGAACAGTATCCCAACCCTCACACATGTCGAGTGACGAAGAGTGGTGTCTATATATCCGGTCCCTCCTTGTACCAATATGTGTTTAAATAAATAAGTAACTGCTAGTAATAAATGGACTGAGAAGCAGAAACAAGTGGCGCGTAATGAGTTTCCGAAACGTAATCAGTGCATACTAAGTGTCGATGGACTACTGTAATGAATGCCTCGATAATTTCTTTGAATCGGCCTGTCTGACTGTCCAAGACAAAATTCGCGAGTAGTTGGATAATTTCAAAATTGATTTTCGTGGGCCATCCAAAGTGGCGTATTGAGTACTAGACCTCAATAATTGATTAGTACTATAACAGTATCTACATCTGCGATAATTCAAAATTTTGTTCAACTAGCTCCTTGTGTCTGACTAGTACTCCCTATTAAATATACGGTTCTGCAAAATGCTGAACATCAAGTATAGAAATGAACTGTTGGTAAAACTTTCAAACTAGAACATTCAAGTAGAAAGCATCGTGTTGCAGCAACTTCAGGAACTCAGACACAATCACGCAAATAAAATAGTCCGGAAACATTCGGCTGCTAATTTTTGTCACTATACAATTAAAGGGACTATACCTGTGGAGGCAGATGATGGCACTATCTGCTCAGGTGTCAGTGGGAGGTGCTTTTGATTGTTCTTAGTAGGATGCCAAATATCTGAGTAATACTTCTTTACAATAACTACCAGATGTTCGAAAGACCATCACGGTACACAGTTCAAGGTAGTTATCACGCGATAAACGTGTATATTTTATAATAATACATTAATACCGAAGATCTGGAGGTATATCAAGTTTCACGTAGGATGGTTTAAAAAACAAAAGAATTTTTGGTGCAAAATAGTACCCAATTGAAATCCAAATGTCACGCGCTTCTTCATCTGCAGGTAGACCATTTGAGATATCACCACCAAAGTATGTAACATACAAACGTTCATTCGGTATTTTCCACACTTCCGTCAACAATTCCCAAGCCCATTCACAAGCTTCTTTTTTGAAATAATCTCCAAACGACCAATTTCCAAGCATTTCAAAAAACGTATGGTGGTAAACATCACGTCCGACGTCATCCAAGTCATTATGTTTTCCTCCAGCTCTGATACATTTTTGAGAATTATATGCTCTTTTGAGTCGGCCTAGTTCGCTATTTGGATCCACAGTTCCTTGGAAGATCGGTTTGTACTAAGCGAAATCAAAATTCAATGAGCAGTTACCTGATTCATTCCAGCATTTGCAAACAAGAGTGTGGGGTCATTATGAGGGATAGTAGAAGAAGAATGAACATAAACATGTCCTTTCGATTTGAAAAAATCGAAGAACTGTTGTCGTAACTCCTTTGCAGTGATTTTATTATTCATTGTGGGAACTATTTGAGTAGAAAATACACGTAATATGCAGGCGTGACTTCCGTAGTGGATGAAGGTCAGCTGTAGACGACCTTCGGCGACCGAATACCCCTCGTTTCCAATATCCAATAATTTTGTGACGAGTTGAATAAGCTGGCTTATTTCTTTCTTCATGCTTCTCAACGTTATAATAGGGCACAGGTCTATAGCAGTATGTCAAACAGAAAATATAACTTAGACAACTTAATTCGACTGCATAATTTGAACTTGTTCCAAATGGTTTTGATTCAAATGGTTCAAATGGTTGTGGACGGAATAGAAGAAGCTTTCGCTTAACAGGCTTCCGTGTCTAGTAGCAGGGGATCACCAAATCCTCCAGGCAGGAACCTAGGTATGTTAACAATAAAAGAGGAAAAGAAATTGGTAAATCATAGTGCGATGCTGTCCTTGGTCCTTAAGAATAGGTCAAGTTGCCTCTTGAAGGACCCCTGAGAAGTCGCTTGAACTAGCTCGGCCGGCAGCGAGTTCCAGCTTTTGACAACTCTTAAGGAGTAGAAGTTGTGTCTACATTCCGTCTTGCTATGTTGTGTTTCCAGTTTCTGGGTGTTACCCCTTAGGTTGTTGTTCGAACTAAGCTTAAGTAGGTGTTTAAGAGGATGTCCAGAAGTGTTAAGAATACTATAAGCCATTAATAAATCACCTCTAAGACGCCTATATTCTAGTGGGTAAAGGTCTAGTGAACGGAGGCGTTCTTCGTAAGGCTTAGATTTGAGTCCTCGAACTGATTTCGTGGCTCGCCGTTGGATACGCTCCAAAGTGACCTTATCCTTGTGGAGTGAGGGGGGAGTACTATGTTTCCGTACTCTAAATGGGGACGGATGAAACTATTGAAGATTGTGTGGAAAGTTCTTCCGTCAAACTGGCCAAAAATGCGCCTCAACGTTACCAGTGCAAGGTTTGCTCGGAAGGCATTTTTGTCACAGTTAGCGTAAGACTTTAAGTCATGGGGCACCAGGACTCCTAAATCTTTTTCGACTTGGGATACTACTAGACAGGAGTTTCCTAAGTTGTAACTGTAGTTTGCGACATGTCGCAGATGGACTACTTTACACTTAGAAGTGTTAAAGGTAAGTCCGTTATCGTCTGCCCAACTTTGAAGTCGAGTCAGATCCTCTTGAAGTGCCTGTATATCGTCTTGGTTGCGTATCTCTCTCCAAAGTTTCACGTCGTCGGCAAAAAGTAATAAGTCTGACGTTACCTGTTGAGGAAGATCGTTTATGTAGATCAAGAAGAGAAGAGGCCCTAGTACTGAGCCCTGGGGGACCCCACTAAGACATTCCATAGCTTGAGATAAAGTGAAATTAACCCTAACCTTAAAGTGTCGATTTTTTAGGTATGAAGTAAGCCAGTCGATTAGAGGTGGTTTGATACCTAGTCGTTTGAGCTTGCTGATAAGACACAAGTGGTTAACCTTATCAAAAGCTTTTGAGAAATCAAGGTAAATGACATCAACTTTTCCCTTGCGATCGAGGATGCTTGTCCATCTGTCCACCGCAGTCAGCAGGTTGGTTATACAAGAGTAACCCTTCCTGAAACCATGCTGTTGGGGTGAGAAGAAATTTAAGGACAGTAGGTAGTCATTTAAACCGTCGCATATCAGGGACTCCATGAGTTTTGAAGGTAACGACAGGAGAGCTACCGGCCGGTAACTTGAAGGTTCATTGCGTCGACCACCTTTGAAAATTGGTGTGATGTGAGCCAACTTCCAATTTTCCGGTAGTTTGCCTCGGCTAAGCGAGTGTGAAAACATCACGCTAAGCGGCGTTGCCAGGATTGAGGCTGCCTCCCTCAGTATGGCAGGATGAACCATATCCGGGCCAGGAGAAGTGTCAAGTCTTAAGTGCTGCAGTTTCCGGAACACCAAGTCAGCGCTTAGGTCCACTTCAGAAAGTCCTGTGGAATTGCAGATGAAACTGTCATGAGTAAAGTTGATATCAGCCGGTTGAAATGTTTGAGAGTAATGGGCCGCCAGAAGGTTAGCGGCGTCGCCATCGTTGTTGGTCGGGCCGTTAGGACCTAGCAGTTGAGAAACTCCTGTTTTGGCTTGACGAAGAGAGGCTGCATAACGGAATAGGCTTCTAGGGTTAGAGGCGAATTTGTCCATAAGCTTTGTTTGGTACTGAAGCCTGTCTTCTCTTATAGCCTTCTTGCATGTGTTCCTGATATGTTTGTATTGCCTATACGCTCCATCGTTATTAGTTCGTTTGTATTCCGCCCAACAGTGCCGTTTGCGGCTTAGGAGGCGAAGGGTACGGTTCTTGATTACTGTAGGTGGCTTGAAGCTTTTGGGAACCGTTTGAGGAACTGAATGGTCTGTAGCACATAAGAGCGTGTGCAGCAAGAAGTCCCAATGACCATCCACATCGATTTGAGGGTGAACATCCCAAACCACCTGTTGTAGATGGTCATGTAGAGCTCGCACATTCAGCCGTTTAAAATTCCATCGCAAATTATTGTTGGGATACCTTAGCTTAGTTTTGATGACAAAACTGAAGGCTATGACGGCATGATCGCTTTTTCCCAGAGGAGCCAGGATTGAGAGGTTGTCGACTAGGAATTCTTCGTTAGTGAATACACAGTCTAAGCGCGATGGTGTCTGACTGTTTCTCCAACGAGTTGCCGACCTCACATTTTCATATAAGCCCAAGTTATCGATGAGGTTGAAGAACCGAGCTTCAGTTGAGTTGTCGCCTCCAGTGTACGTGTGTTCCGCGAAGTTGACTCTAGGGAGATTAAAGTCCCCTAGAATCAGGATGTGTGTGAAACCGAGACGGATAGAGCGGGATAGTCCTTCCAGCATACGACTATCGTACTCGGTGTCGGCAGTTGGCTTCCTGTAAATGACTCCGACTAGACACCTGGAAGTACTAGACAACCTTACAGAGCACCATATGGATTCCTCAAGATTGTTAAACTCGAGGTTGTGAACCTGGTGCACCTCCAAGCAAGAGCTTATGTATATGGCTACTCCGCCCCCAATTCCTATTTTTCTGTCGTTGCGGAACAAAGTCATCCCAGGCAATGCTAACTCTTGATCCGAGAACTGAGAAGATATCCAGGTTTCAGATATTCCTATCAGATGGGCCTTGTTAGCGTTGCTAAGTTCACGTAGTTCATCCAGTTTGTTTGGTAAACTCGCGGCGTTCATATATAAGCAGTTTATGCTTTCAATTTGGAACGCATGAGCTTCATCCTGTTTTTCTGTATGAACCTTATGTGAATGGACAGGTAGCCCACCTATATGAGGTTTGCCGAGGTGGTAGGCCCTGTCCTTTACACGTTTTTTTGTCGTTTAGACAGTCCACAAGTGGAATGGTCAGCTCCAACTTGCCTTTGTTCTTGGTCCTGACTTCGTATGGCCTATCCGGGTGCATGTGGATTCCAGGTGGCAATCGACGTCTATTAGCACGAAATGCTTCCAGAACTGCAGCCGCCATGTGGGAAGATGGGAAGGTTATCTTCATTAGACGGGGTCTAAGATCACCGTCCTTCTTGGCTAGTCTCGTCACATGCTGAGTCAGTATGTGTTTGAGCCTCAAGGACTGTTTGATGAATTTCCATTCCCTGATGTCAGAATTTGATTGAGTAGGGTCTGCATTTTCCGGTATACCTTGGACAATTATGTTTCTTCCGCGGAAGAACTTCTCGCGAGATTCTTTAGGGACGTTTCGTATGATATTGCGCTCAGAGTACGGTATGTCGGGCAATATTCTTACGTTACCATCTGATTTCAGTAAGTGACTTGCTAGCAAGACGTCCTCTACGTCGGTAGCATTCTTAAGTGTTACTCGGAGAAGCCTCGGGTGATTTAGATGCTTAGAATCCTTTCCTCGAGTGAGCCGGGTGACCGTCAAAGGCTCTATTCTAGGAAGTTCGAGCTTCTTGTTCAATTTACCCAACAGCATCCTGTCGTTTTTATCCTGCAGACTGAGAGGAAGGTCAGGATTGTCGACGAGGTTCATGATAATGAGAGAATCGTCACGAACTGTTGTTAATTTACCAGGTTTCACGATGGGTTCAGGTTTAATAACTTGTTTTTTGGAGGTCAGTGTGCGTTTATGAATCTTGGGCTCTTTATTGACCGGACGAACAGTCTTGGGGGTAGACTGTGCGACTAAATCACCAGTTATTTTCCGTGCAGCAGCACTTGGGTTGCTCGGCTTAGGCGGTGATGCCTGGTTCTTTTGGGCTCTCTTAACGTGGGTCGAATCGCCTGCAGGGTTTTTGGGAACCACTGTTGTGTTCAGCGACCCTGAGCTGGGAGACCCGAGTTTGCCTAGGGAGTCTAGTACCGTCGACGTAATGATGGTACTGAGCCTCGACACGTCGTCGTTAGTGTTGATGGATGCTCCATCGATGACATACCTATCGACATCCCTATTTTTGAGTCCGTTGCGCGCTCTTGTTTGTATATCGGTTTTTTTACTGTCGTATTCCAAGTTAACTGACAGCTTGTTTCGAAGACCTGTCAGTAGGACAATGATGTTACTCAGTAAGACTACTGCGTCCGTGTTGCACATGACACATACCCACTTTTGGTCTGACTTGCTGAGTTTGTTGTAAGCAGTTGCTGTCAGATTTGTGCATGCTTCGTGAAACCAACCTTTGCAGTTGTCGCACTGCATGCCAGTCGTGACAGCAAAACGGCATCCCGGACGTTTGCATGAGTTTTTCATGACGGTGTTGAAGCAAACTATGTTATAGATGCTTGCAAAAGCTTAAGACCTTATGAAAAAAAAACACTAAAATGCACACTGAAAACGGACAAAAATGGACAAAACGAGTGATATAAACTGAAACTAGTCTATACGTGAAAAACAAAAAAAACCGAATAGTAAGCTGAGGCAAAACCACAGGTAACTATTAAATATAGTGAAACTCAAAAAAAAAAAGTAATCTACCGAACGTATAGCTCAGGATAGATTTTTTAGAACTGAAATGGTACTTTTGTTGCGTAAGAACACAGCAAAAGTTTGATATATGCAAATCACGTTAGGACTAAACTTCCCGTTCGAAAATCGCGCATATGGAAAGCATAT